AGGTTGGATCTCAGGAAAAGGTTCTTCCCCCAGAGGCTGGTTGGGCACTGCCCAGGCTCCCCAGGGCAGTGGGCACAGCCCCAAGGCTGCCAGAGCTCCAGGAGGGTTTGGACAACGCTCTCAGGGACGGGGTGGGATTGTTTGGGTGTCCTGTGCAGGGCCAGGAGTTGGACTGGATGATCCTGATGGATCCCTTCCAACTCAGAATAGTCTGTGATTCTTTGAATACTTGGAGGTTAAAACAAACAAACAAACAATCAGTGGCAGATCTCTGTCACAAATGCTGGCAACCATGTTGTGCCACTGGGAAGATGAAGCTTGTCTAGGGATATTTGCTTTCACTAATGCTTGTGCTCTTGGGGTCAGGATAGGGCAGGACACTGGGGGGGCTTTGCCAGTCTCTAGAAGTCCTGTCCCCTTTACTATCCTGATGTTTCTAAGGGTCACAGTACCAAGGGTACCTCATCTGGGATAGCTCTTAGCTTTGCACATTTATTCCTAATTGTGGTAGTTTGGCCTAGGCCTTCCTTGGTGACCAGTTGGTAACCAAGGAAGTGCCCAGATTTACCTGGTATTACCTACGATTTTTACGTAAGCCGGGGTATAAGAAGAAAGGAGGAGATGCCTTCGCTCTCTTTCCTTCCGGCGGCTTTGGAGGTGCAGGTTTCCCTGCTGTTGAGTCTGTCGGGTTGGAGAGTGAGGCCTGGTAAGGCCTTGTCGACCTTGGGAGGCGGAGGCTGCCGGCAGTCGCTCCAACGGGACTCTCCCTTGTCCCAAGGAGAGTAGTAAGATATTCTCTGCTAATTCTTTTAGTTGATAGACCTTGGGCTATTGATTGGGATATATATATATATATATATTTTATTTTGGTTTTTGTTCTTCCCTTCCCCTTTCCCTTTTCCCTATGAAATTGTATATATATTTCAGTTGTATATAAGTGTAAATATATTTATATATATTGCTTTGTCTCTCTCTCGTTTTCGGTTCTTTTGGGTTTTTTTCCCCCTCTTCTCCCTTGGTTTGGGGGGGGGACTTCTTGTGGTAAGGTTTGGAGACTTGGCAGGGAGCCAGCTCCAAACCATATCACTAATAAAAGTCATGGTAGCTGGAAATGGCATTAAGCGAGGGAATATGAATAAAGACTTTGTGTGAGCATGAGTTAAGAAGTAAAGGCCTGTGTCCATTTAAATTGGTAGCCAGACTCCCATTAGCTTAAATGTGCTCAGGATTTCACCCTGTCCTTTCTTTCAGCTAAGCTGGCTTCCTGTTTGAGTTGGCAGGGCAGATACCTTTGTCCCTGTCCAACAGGGCATACTTGGAATTGTTTTTCTCCCAGGCTGATGGAGCACTCCTAGAAGTCTCAGTCTATTCCAGCTGCAGCATGGCTGGACACACCAAACACAAACATTGTGTGTGCACTGCAAGTCAGAATGGTTTTGTGTTAAATGCTGTTCTAAAGTAAATGTCTGAAAGCACAAGCAGACAAGGCCTGGTCTGATCTTGTATTTGTCATTACATTTCATGACAACTGACATGAATCTACGTCTGCACTAAAGAAGCTTTCTCTTATGTGCCTCTCTCAGCTTATGACAAACACCAGTTAAAAGGTGTGCAGTGATGCTGGAGGGGGGCATTGCTCTTATTATAGCAGTAGAGGGGAAAGGACACTGCCTGGATGCTCTCCTGTGCCATAGCACATGGTAAAGGTAGACCCAGTCATGTTTGTGGGCTGTAGCAAAAGAGGAAGGCAGGACGTCTCTGGGAAGATTGGAACCAATAGTATAAAGCCAAAACTTACTGTGTCCTTGGGAAAGGGGGAGGGAAATAATCTCTACATTTAAAACAAGGCATTGCAGTTGGGCATATATCTCAAACTGGATAAATTTAAAGTTCTGGACTGATGGGAAGACTTGGTCTTATAACAGTGTTGAGAGCCATCCACATGGTCTGACTCTACCTGCAGAGCTTTAATTTCATGTTCTCTGAAGTCTGCGGATTTGTTTTCCAAGGGTCTCAACACATTAAAAACATAATAGAGTCCCAAATTAATAAAGCTGTACATGTTCTATAATTTAGTGGAACTAAAAAATCCACATTGAAACAGACACAGGCCATTTCCATTCAAATCCCTCTTCTGCTAGAGGCTTGGGTAAAGGGAGGGACTCTCCAGTGTGACTGAAAATAAAACCCCTATGACATACTGGAAAGACCAAAACCAGATGGCTTCTGGATTCACAGGCTTCCAGAGTGCCACGTTCTCAGGCTGTGCCTCCAGACAGTTCAGTGCTAAGCAGATGCAGCTGCCCAGCAGGCCCTGCTGAAGCCCTGTCCTGAAAGACAGGAATCAGAACCTCATCATGCTGGTACACCCTGGATCTGAAAATCTCTTCTGTTTCAAAACTGTGCCAGTTTACACTACACTTATCTGGTGTAGGATCTGCAGTCTCCCCAGGGAGTACATTGACGTTACACGAAAGCTTTTCTTTTTGGAGGACAAAAAAGCAACTCCATATCAAGAACTAAATTTGCTTCCTCTTCCCTGTTCACAATTCATAACTCTTCTGTTCATTTAGCTTACTAGCAGGGATGAGCACCCAAATGTCAGCTCTAAAATACGGATTTCTTGTTTGCAATCCTCTGATCTAATCTGATGAAGAAAGTAAGACATAACAGATTTTTGGGCCCAACCAAAGCAGCCTGCAGTTCAATATTGAATTCTCCTGGTGAACTGCCAAGAGAGTAAAAAACAATTTAAAAGAGTTTGAAACTACAGGAACTTTGTGAAAAACTGCAGGGTTTGAGACAAAGATCTGAAAAAGGTAAGAAGAAAGAAAGAAAATGCATCAAATTATTCATTATAGTCTTAACACTCTCCTCAGATTAACAAGAAGCCCATTGGCTGATCCCAAGTGTAACAACAGGCTGTAATTTAAAACAGCTTTTATTCATTAATGAATAGAAAAGTTATATCAGTGAGAACTTTGAGAAAACCTGTTCCAAGTACCAGCACTAAACAGTCTTTCCTTGTAAAGATGTGCCTTGCTGCCTGATTGTGTGTTGGGACACTAACTACTGGTTTATGCTACCAATTCAATGGAATTAACCTTGTGAAAATGCAGACTATTCCTTTCAGCAGATGGTACTGTTTGTGTATACAAATACCTCTTAGAAATGTTAATGTAAACCACATGCTCTGAAATGACAGGATTCCTGCACTGAGCCCTTTATCCTCCTGAAAATGAAAAATAACACTGTGAGCTCAGACTGGTGGCTGCTGCAGCAAGACCAGTGCCTGCTTATTGCTTATGCTGGCTGAACTGGGCACAAGAACAGTGAGGGGAAAAACAGATGGAGGGCATAGAAAGAATGTTGGGCTGTGGTGCTTCTCTCCCCTAGACACCTGTATTACTCTAGAGAAGGGATGCAAATAGCCACTGTTAGCCTGTGTGAGCTCTCCTCTACAGTGCAGCTCCTTCATATTTTACTGGATAAATTAATCCCCAAAGTGCTTTATGCTGCTGTTGCTAGACTGGTTTTGGTTGCCAGCTAGGGTGACTCTTCAGAGCATATTCTGAGGCTTTACATTCCTCTGGGTTATGAGCATTTGCATCTCTTGCGAGTGCCTCAAGTTACGGTGTTGCCTGATGCTGTTCACTGTCCATCTTGCTTCCCCATGTCAACATTCACAAGCATCTGTCCTCAAAGCCTTAGAGAGCAAATGTTCTTAAAAAGAGACAAAGATTCCAGAAGCTGCAGCTTAAGGCAAGATTCTGCAGACCAGAACTATCACTGCAATGCAGAATTATCTCAAAAAGCCAGTCAGTCTTTTCCTCTGTACATTCACATTCTGCCAAGAGCACAAACAAACTGGCACCCTGTAAATAGTGGAATTTACAGTGAAATAGTAAACCTTAGGGATAACTCTGTCCTCTACCAAGCTTCCTCAGAGCTATAGGGCAGATGTGGTCAGTGGGAGATGAAACAGCTCCAAGCACAGAAACCATCAGGTTGGAAGCTGCCACTCAAACCGGTTCCTGTTCCCTGTAGAGCTGTGCAAGGCTGAACTCTTAAGCAAAACAGAGCTGTGTGCAGTGCTTAACCTGTGGCTTTGTCCTCACTGCAGATTACGTGTTACATACCAGTCCTTTGTGGGAAAAGCTGATTCTCATATGAATGTATCTGAATATCTGGAAAAAAAAATCTCCTTCCCCTACTACCTTCTGTCCCTCCTTTCCTTCTTGAAGTTGCTAAAATCAGCAATAAATTGGGATAGACAGAGCTGACATTTTTCAAGACAATATGCGGTTGGCTAGGCTGGGTCACCAAAAAGTGCACAGAGGTGTAACTTAGAACAAGTCCTGAACAATGTCAAAACAGCAAAGTTGTAACAAAAGCTGCAGGTAATGAAAGCAAGCCTTGAGGTGGCTGTCTGCTGTAATCATGGAATTGGTCAGGTTGGAAGAGGCCTTTCTGGGGAAGAGTCTGGAGCACAAGTCTGATGAGGAGCAGCTGAAGGAGCTGGGGGGGCTCAGCCTGGAGAGAAGGAGGCTCAGGGGGGACCTCCTGGCTCTGTAACCCCCTGACAAGAGGGGGGAGCTGGGGGAGGTCGGGCTCTGCTCCCAGGGAACAAGGGACAGGAGGAGAGGGAACGGCCTCCAGCTGTGCCAGGGGAAGTTTGGACTGGATATTGGGGAAACTTGCTTCACTGGAAGGGTGGTGGCATTGAACAGACTGCCCAGGGCAGGGGGTGGAGTCCTCATCCCTTCAGAGATTTGAAAGCTGTGTGGATGTGGCACTTGGGGACATGGGTTAGTGGTGGCCTTGGCAGTGTTGGGGGAACAGTTGGACTTGATCTTAGAGGGCTTTGTACAAAGAAATTCCTTTTGTTAGCATTAATATTTGGTGGCTGGAGCACATTAGGGCATTTTAGTTGGGTTTTACAGAAAGAAACTGATACAGAAAGAAGGTAATGATTTTTTTAATAGAGTATCTCTCTGGGGGGTTGTGTTCATATCACAAACATTCACTTTATTACATTTTATGGAATGGACTTTAAATGCCAGTATATACAAGACAACATTTCATTATTGGAGTTTGTGTTTATTCACTTGCCATTGTCAGTCTGTTCCCCTTTGTTTGCTCGTGCTGCTTTTTGTAAAAGCTATGATTTATGAATATGAGGTTTAGATCCCTCACAATATAGCACAGTGAAGTGGTTCAATAAAAAGTTATTAAAGTAAAAAATCTATAGTTTTGCGTGCTCTGCCCACCTTGTAGAGGAACCCCCAATAAGAGATTCTTACACTAAGCAAACACTGTAATATTAGCTGCCTGCTGAGAGGCCTCACTCAGTCAGAACTGTGCTGAATGGTGGCCATTGCAGGCAATTCCAGTCCTGCCCACATAACTGCAGGATTACCCCCTCCCAGTACCAAAAGTAGCATAGACCAAAAAAGGTCGGGGGAAATCTGCCATAAAATGTCAATTTTATAACCAGGAAATAAAGACTTCCAGTAGTCTTAAGCTGCACAATACCAAATGGCACATAACTGTGTGTGCACCACATTTAATTTATCTTTAAAAGAAAGCTCTCGGTCCTGCTGATTGCAGGATAAACAAAGATGACTTTGGGCAGTTTCCAGAGCCCACTTAGAATCTGAATTTCTGCAGAAAAGTAACACTTTTCCAGGCTAACATTGAAAGGGTGATTTAGACTACCCTCCCTCAGCCCACACGTGTTTTTCACCCAGCAGTGTTGACTTGCCACAGCTGCACAGCCACATAAAAGAGGGGATGACAAATGGGCCACTCAAGCCTGCGGCTGGCAAGAAATGAGAGCTGCTTACAGCAGTGAAAGCTGAAGGAAGCACTCTCCAGGATGAAAAATAATGTGTGAGCAAGACATGGAAGGTGGTAGAATCTGTTCAACTGCAGCACAGCAGGAGGAGTATAAGAGATGGGTTACCAAACGATTTTGCTGCCTCTATTTTGTGTTCCCAAGTCTCTGAAAAAATTTTGCTCACTACGAACAGCAAGCCCTCTGTCTGTCTGCGGGAGGGAGAACTTCAGCAAGTGAGGATTACCTCAGTGAGTGACAGGCGTTAAAAGCACTGAGGCACACCACAGCCACAGGACCAAAATCCCCGGGCTGGCACTGCATGGCCCCGGGAAGCACCGTGCAGGAACGTTCCTGAGCACACAGCGTGCTGTGCTGCTGCACTCGGCTCCTCCCACTGCAACAGAGCAGCTATTGAGGAAGCAATCACAGTCCCTCTGTTATCTCTGGCAAACAAAGGATAACAGCTTTGGTTTTGTTTGTATAATCGTATACATTCTCTTGGAGATCTAAACTTGAAGGTTCCAACCTGCTCCAGGCTACCAAAACAATTTGGCCACCTGCAGTGCTCTGCCCCGTGCAGTCCTGCTCACCCATCTCTGGCCAGGTGAGATGCTGCAAGGAAACACAGGTACGAGCAACAGGGCCCAGCACAGCCCCTGAGCTGAACAGGCTGCTGTCCAGAGTCAGTGTTGCATCTTGCACACCTCACTGCCTCTTGTGCTGGGTACCTCGGGACACAAGCATTTTGTCCACATTGAATTCACCGATGTTAGATACCTGGATACCCATTGGCTCAATTCCTTTCCTGCTGAAGTAGGAGAATGAAGCAACTAATTTCTACTAAAAATATAGATAATAAGCCCAATAAAAAACATTGACCAGCATGAAAAACAAAGGGAAAAGCAATTTGGAGTAGTGGTCCACATTGCCGGGGTTCTGAATTGTGAAATAACCAATAATCCTGTGCATTTTGTTTCTCAAGACACATTTGATTTTCTCATGACTTTTCATAGTCAAGTCACTGCAGTTAACATTATCACTGGAAATCTCAATGCTTGTGAAGCTGATTTTCTGTTTATAGCTGGTGATGGAATTGTTGAGGATGTTAGTGATGTTGACATCTTCCATTTCTTTAGTGAGCTCATTTGCTGGCCCCTTGGAAACAAGAGTGCAGAGTTAGTTTTAGGGTCTGTCTTCTCCTGCAGAGGAAGGAAACCATAAGGATAAAGATAAAAGAGCGGTCCTATGTGGTCATCCACTCAAACACACCTTTCAGCTGCTCCCTATTTTTAGGAGGGCCTGAGGTCCCAGAGATGCCTGTGTTTCCACCACTGTATTTCTAGAGGTATTTTTAGACCTTGAGCAAGTCTCACTCTGTCACTGAGCAACCCAGTGCAACCCAACATGCATCTCCTCCTGGACATCCATCTCTTCATGTCTACTCAGTAACAATGGCTGGGGAACTCAGCATTGAAGTGGGAAACCTCTTTTCTCTTTGACAGGATTTGGGCCCTTGATGACTACTGGACTATGGTCAGAGCTGACTATTTAGTTTCTCACACTAAAGCAGAGCACTTGAACAATGCACTCTCGCAATCCCCATGGAATGTGGTGGGACTGATGTTTGGTACTGTCTTCTGGGAAGGGAGGAAGAAGGGCTCATATTTCCTTTGTAAAAAAAGAGCAAAGTACCTTCCTAATCAGAGTTATTCCATAGGAGAGCAAAGAGGTGTGTTATACTGGGTCTTCTCTGGCTGCATTTTGAAAGGAGCAGAGGTACTTCATGCTCACATGAGCTCAGTTCAGGGCCACAGACCCAATTCCAGTGGCAGGCCAAAGTGCCTTCCTGAATGTGGTCTGATGAACCCAATATGACTGTCAGCTGAAGCTGCTGCTCAGAAGTCTGTCAGAGACACAGTGCTCTAGAGCTATCCATGTGCTTGCTGCACACAAAAATAAAGATTTAGTGCCATTCAGGAGAAGCCAGTGTTAATGTACCTGTAACAGGAAGACCATTTGTCTTATTCAGTTAATGGAGAACTGATTGCTGTCAATCCAAGATCTCTGGGCTTATCAGGCCTTACCTCTTGAGGTACTTTAGCTGCACACTTTTGTGATGAGCTGTAGTGAGCCACTGCATATTCCACAAGGGCACCAAAGATGAAGCTGAAGCAGATGCCAAGATAAACATCAATGGCCTTAATGAAACAGTTGGTTTTTGAAAGTGAACTTCGTGAGCCGATCATCAGAGTTGTCATGGAAAGCACTGTTGTAACTCCTTGGAAAACAGAAAAAGAGATACCTTCTCTTGTGGACTCTTTGGAAAAGTCCTGGCCTACCCTTCTGCACATGTTGTTGCTCATATCACTTCTTACCAAATCCAAAACATCCATCACAGCAACTGAAATGCTTTTGTAGCACTAGCTACAAGCTTCACAAAAGCTCTCCCTGCTGTTGACAACTTGTCTCCAATAAGCGCTCGCCTCTCTTCTTTTTCTGGCTCTCAGTAAAAAATTCCCCCATCCTGCTCCCTCCAAAGCACACCACAAAGAATGTGTGTTCTGTCCTCTGCTCTCTGCTGTGAATCTCCTGGGAGCCTTGGCAGGTGGGCACATGTACCTGCCACAGCACATCCTCCATGCTAAACCAGCTCTGCCCCAAGCAACAGCAGAAGGTCAATAGACCATTTATTTATCCCAGAGCAGTGAGCTCAAGAAAAGGACCATCTACCCAACCCTCAGAGGCTGCCTTGCCTGCTTAAGTCTTCTCAATTCCTCAGGCAATAACTCACCAATGCAGGTTCTTGCAGGCACTGAGTCCAATGTGATCCAAAAAGAAACCCAGGACAACATGACGAGCAGAGTGGAGGGCACATAGGTCTCCAAAATGAAGTAAAGTACATTTCTTCTTAGCTCAAACTGTAATATCAGACGTGGGTAACTGCCTGATCATGAAAGGAAGAAAGTCGGTGAGCATGAGATTCCCAAGGACACCTGGAGTGAAACTGGAACAGCCCAGCACCAGCCCTGCAGCTGAGGGACCTCAGCAGAGCCACACCATGGTTGTGGGGGAGGCATTGCTTCACCTCAGAGGGCTTTGCCAACACACCCCACACGAGAGGACACACAGCACTGACAGGGACATCCAACAACGCAGGGTTTGCAGAGGGGCTCCTGGGCTTCAGACCCGGTGGAAATACGTGACAGCAGTGCCTTAACTGGGAGCAGAGCAGGGCTGGTGCTGTCCCTGCTCTTGCACACTCAGCACAGTGCACTTTTCCCAACACTGCTTGGAAGGGGCATTGCCAAGTTCAGCCTCATCTGATGGCTGAGAAACAGGCAAAAGATTTGTCTCTTGATTTCAGCAGGCTCTGGCTCACATCCCAAAGCATCCCACTACCTTATCATCACAAGGAATTAGATGCCCTGTTTTCATTAGCAATTTGTGATCCTTGATAATGGTATCTTTCTCTGCTCAAAAAAATTCAGTCAATTTTTTAAAATCAATTATTTTTAAATACTGACATAAGAGTTCTGGGGCTGGATCAGTAATGTTTTCAGGATATGGTTCTGCTGTTTAAATAATAGCTCCCTTTGAAATGTAGAAACAAAGTCTGTGTTGTTCATGGGCTGTGTACACAACAATAAAACATTGTTATTTTTAAAACCTGGTAATTCTAAGGAAGTTTTGCCCCCCTTTCACAGTTTCTGTGATTGGAGAGAAGAGTATTTACACCGAGAATGAAAAAGACATTGAATTCTGATGTACAAAGAGATGTTATTCCATCATGATAGAATTGTAATTTACAATCAAAAGTATATTTTAAAAATTAATTTTACTCCCAGTTACTGTAACTTTATAGAAAGAAGGGAGAGGATTTCTTCAGGTATGTGTGGAGATGTGATGGGAAATACCCAAGAGCTTTCCTTGCCTTTTTCTTTCACAGATTTACCTGTCTCCTGCTGTGACTTGGAGACCAGGGTGTAGTAACGCTCCACCGTGTACTGGGAGAGCCGCAGCTGCTCCATGCCATGGACAGAGTCGTTTCCTCTCAGCCATGTGAAGGTGACATCATTTTCATCATAGCCCCCTAAGGACAACACAGAGACCTGTCTGACTGTGGTTTAGCCATTAAAGCCTGGCTGCTGCCCTGCTCTGCATCCTGAGGGGGAACAGAGCCACGATCCAGGCATTGCAGGCTGGACAAAGGCCCTCTGAGCTGTGTCAGACCACGGGTGGACCTTGGCTGTGCTTTCATTGCTGCACTTTGTCTGCTGGTCCACATTTCAACAGGAACACGTGTCTCTGGGAACGACACACAACATGCAAGCCTGCAGAGAGTCTATTTCAATCCTTTACATGGGGTATTTCTGATTTAAAGATAATCTATTGCTGTCATGCATAACTTGATTACATGCAGCAGTATTAAACACTGCAGCAAGTAAGCCTCAAATGTAGCCTCTTCAGTCTGAGAGGAGACCAGGAGATATACAGTGCTTAAAAGTAGAGAATTCAGATCCCACTGAGTCCCTTACCAAGGAGTAGAAGCGCATTTCACTGAATCACCTATTCAAGTGCCTTAAATAGGAGAAAATGCATTTTCAGTCAGTCAGAAGCTTAGAACTGAGACTGCTACGTGGTTATGATTCCTCTGACTGGATACACATTGCCCAGTGAAGGCAACTGTTTCTACAAATCATTCCTCCTATCCCCAAAGGCATTAAGTTATTGAGGACAAATAAATGCCCATGACATTTAAGTAACACCAAATTCCTGCCTCCAAAGAAGTGGGACTCCGTATATGCCACCTGAGTAAGTGCTTCCAGGAATGTAAGTGATGGCATAACCTCAGGTTGGACTGAGGGATACCTCAGTCTGAGAGATAAAGCTTGTACTTAGTCACTAGCCTGCCATTCTCTTCAAAAATTTCACTTAATTTAGGAAACAAGCCCATCAGTCTCACTGATGTAATTATTTTATGAAGAGCCCTTCTTTGAGACCATGTGTAAGGACACTGCGATTCTGGTAATAACCCGTTCGTCCTGGTAGGAGGAATCAGATGCAGTTGCAGCTCTGTTTTCATCTAATTGTGTTTTCTTATTAGACACAAATTACCAGAGCTTGAGCGAGATAAACTCCTAAATTAGGTGTCCAGAGTATGAATCCCTGAGTAGAATCCTAAGCATATGACTTTTCTAAATTTCTAAGTGGTTTTATAAATTGTGGTTACTCAGGAAAATTTTATAATAAATGATAGATTGTTGTTAATTCATCTGGCGTATATTTAAATAGCATTATTTCTGGGCACTTATCCTAATGAAATCTCCAGTGGGCAATGTGTATGTAATTTCATTGGAATTATACAGCAACTCAACATGATGTAGGACCCAATCACTTTTAAACCAGGCCCAAACAAGCTCCGCTTTAGCAGAAGAGGCCAATCATTATTATTTCAAGAGCTGTGCTTTGTAATAAAGTTAACCATGGTGAACTAATATGATTTTAATGTGAAAATAATATGTGCTTCCCTAGGTGCTTCATGCTGCAACCCCAGAAGTTAAAAAGCTGACGTTTTCAGTGCTGAGATGGTTGGTTTTGTGCCATCAAGCAGGAGATGAAGCCTGCTCGTTGTGGAGCTCCACAGCACACAGCAGCACTGAGCTGGCTGAGCTCCGGGGTAACAACCCTGGAGCGGCCTAAATTTTCCTGGAGCCTTTCTCAGCCAGCATTGCCATAGATGAACTTTTAATCTCATTGAGAGCAGAACTCACTGACAATTCCTTTTCTTGAGACTTCCCAGTCAGAGACTCTTCTATTGACAAGGGTACTGGATACCTAAAAATGTGAGAGGTTGTTCCTTGCTGTACCCCATCCCATGCACTTAACCACAAGTTAGTTTTGAAGAAGATGTGTGTTCAAAAGGAACCAAATTTGGAAAACCAGCCAATATTACTTCAACTTTTCTGTGCAAAATTGAAATGTCTGCATTTCAATAAAAATATTCATTATGTGCACTCTTTTTGCACAGTCTGCACAGTGACAGAAATTCTCTGGACTGTGGATTTTAACACAAACATTTGAAAATTGATGATGCAAAAGTTGTTTTCTTTTGGACATTAGTATCCATTAGTATCTGCAGGACTGAAAGTCTACTCCAGAAAGCCTCTGCACTGAATCTAAATATTCAAGATATGTAGTTTTTTATGAATAAACAAATTTAAAGTTAGAATTTTCTAGAATGTTACACTTACAGCTTTCCAGCTGCAGTCTGCATGTTTGTGTGTCCATAGGATATTTTGACAGGTCCATGTTACAGGCAACAGTAGTAGTGATTCTGTAGGAGGAGAAAGAACTCTGAAAGTTGCAATGAAAGCATGTAATGAAATACCTGTTTTACAGAGCAAACTGGATCACAAAGACTCTGCTCTGTCATTAGGCCTATGAAATGAATGAACTTAAGACCATGTGCTCTCTGCAGCCACCCTGATGAAAATATAACCCAAGCAGGAATTTTGCTTTGCTTTGGTGGGAGATTTGGTGTAGATTCACATTTTTTTCCAGTGCTACAGCTTGCACATCTGAAGAAGTCACCACTTGTGACGTGAAGGCACGTTCACGAACGGCACACATATTCTGGCTCGCTCTGATGGGGAGGTAAATGAGTTTTACTTTGCAGTTGAGGTAACTGGGACCTAGTTACTGTGAGTAAGGAGACAGAGCACTGTAGGAACTGCTAACACAACTGCAGAGCACATTCCTGCAGTACACAGACATATACAGTTTTTGGTAAAAAACAGAAGTCATTGCTACATGGCACTGAATAAACAAACAGTTTTCCACTATCTGTTAAACTTTTACTGTTATGATGTCCTCTTTCCATTCCTCCCCTGCCTCCACCTGACTCGACTTTTCCTGGGTGACACCGAAACTTGTGAGCTTTCTGAGTGGGCACAATGCACAGGACACAGCACATACCATGACGAAAAATCCTGATCCTTGACTGGCATTTGCAGGAGGCCAGAACAGGGGGCAATGCACTGGAAGAGTATGGTCACAGCAGGCTCATTGACCTAAGCTCCTGACCCGTGACAGCTGGTATCTGCTGCTGTCCAGTGTAATTCTGGGAATCTATTCTGACCCCTCAGCCCCAAAGCAAAGGGTGACTCACCTCAAGGCGTACAAGATGGTGCCATTAGAGAACAGCCTGATGAGACGGTTGCCCACGGTGACGTCGTGCAGGAAGGACCTTTTGGACTCCACGATGTAGGTGTCTGGCACCCAGAGCAGCTCTGCCAGGCGAGCGTCCAGCGTGAAGCTTTTGTTGCCGTGGAAGACCAGCCGTGGGTCTGTCCAGCGCTGCCGCAGGGATATGGTAGCTGTGTAATCCTGGGAGAGAGGAGAGCCCGTGAGGATGCACGTGCAGAACCTGCACAGCACAGCCACGGGCATGCCACGTGTGACAAGAGACATGGCACACATTTGTTTAACCTGTCACAGCCAAACTTCAATGAAGCCTCAAGCTTTAATTTCAGCACAGTTTTATTTATTCTGTAATATTTTCAATACACTATATTCTAAGGTATGGTGTTTGAGGACTAAAGATTATACTTACAGTGCTTTTTTTAAAATAATGAGCAATTACTGTGACTGATATTTTTTGTGTTCATTGTGCAGGTAAGAAAACAGATGGGAAACACACACTTGAGGCCACCCATTGACATTACAGATGAGTCATTGTCTAGAGCTGGGAAATTCCACATGCACTATAAATATGATCGTGAAAGACATTGGCCCCGGAGGAAAAAAGGTAAGTGAATCCAACCTGCTGCTTCACTGAGGTCTTAAAAAAGCCCCAAACAAAGGAAAAAAACTAAACTAGTACCTTTTTTTTTAATAGGAGTTTTGAATCTAAGGACACTGGGACTAACTTGTGTTTAGCCTGCCAAAATCGACCTGCAGTGGCTGGAGCATTTTCACAGAGCCCCAGCAGAAAAGAATAAGCAGCACCCACTCAGGTCTGAAGCCAATGCTTCGCTGAGCCTTCTGGACACACACAGGCACTGCTGGACTATTTCACTTCCATCCTTACAGTCCAAATACATGCAACCAGTAGTGCCTTTTATTTTCAGAATATCTCTGTCACAGACAGACTGGCACTGGCACTTGTGTTAACAGCCTGAAGTCACTGTTTCACCACAGAACTGCTGCCTGGCTTTGGAAGATCAAGCTGTTCTGCTTCATTCCATCTCTAGTTTTTAAAATGCTCTAAGGAATTAAGGAATATCAGTGTTAGCTTTTGCAACTTCTAAAATTTCGCCCTTGGCCTGTGATGGAGAAAAAAAAGTCAAAGCCTTGTTATGGCTGTCAATACAGTGAGTTATAGTAGTGACAAAAGTGAAGAATCCTGGTTGATTTTCCAGCTTTGAGCAAGACACAGAGTGAGCCTCTGCAATATTTTCCATATGGTCAAAGAAATTTAGATGGATCATCCAGAAAAACTCCAGAACATGATCTATTTTACAAGGCACTTCAATTAAGTGAGAGGTTTGTGAATAATTGATTTTGTTGGTTCTGCTCCTTCCCCAAAATGAATACCTTTAGCAAAGTTAAAATATTTTATTTAGTGAACTTGTTTAATTTGTTGGAAGCAGGTAGAAAAACATAATTGGTGGTGGTAGTCTTGAAAATGCAGAAATTAAGTGTCCTGACTGACCTTCTGACTGTTTGGACTGAAATTATTTGCTGAATTTACCCAAGTTACCTATAATTTTGGCCAACCTGAAACAGGAGCTTTTGGTGATCAGTGTTTGAAATCCAGCAATTATCAGAAGCACAATGTACCAGACTCACCAGTGCACCAGTGATGGGAAGATTTAAAAGATGTTTGGGTTTTTTTTTCTTTTCTTGGGAAGGCCAGTCCTTTGAGCCTCAGACTGTGTCTCGGCTCAAAGCCTTACTTCTCCTCCTTGAGAAGAAGCCCTGTCTGGGATTTCAGTCAGTGCCAGCACGTCCAACAGAGCCCATCCCTGTCCCACACAAAGGGCTCCTACATGGAGGAAAGGTAAGGGAGAGGAAATGCCACACAGTATTGATTTTTTCCATTCCCAAGAAGCCTGATTTCCACGAGGTGCTGAATTTTTGACCACTTGCAAGCCCACATTACTATGGCATCTACACAATCTGCAGTCTCTGCAGTCATAAATGAGCCCTGTTTTCATCACACCTCTGAAAGTGTTCAATAGCCCAGAACAGCAAAGTAGCTTCAATGTGACCGTGTCTGTGGTCACAGAATACATGCCAAGTCTCTCAGGCTCTTATCTCATAAAATAAAAATTCTTTCACTTACCATGTTGCTCTCGGATATACTGGAAATACTTGCGATGTCCAGACTCATTGCAATTTGAACAGGTTCTCCTGGGAAAGGAAAGAAATGCCTCAGCAGAGAGGAGGGAAGTATGAAGGGCACAGTAAAGCCACTCAGGATGCTGTGCAGCGTGGGCACTGCCCCCAGCCTCACACGCTGCCCCTAAAACCACGGAGGCCCAAAGAGCATTAGAATCACAAATGACATGATCCAAAATACAGTTGTCACTGTTAGGGAGCTGGAGTTCCGTTCTGGTGCTGGTAGCAGAGGACAAATACCCACCAGCACCATCTGTGAAGCTGAGCAGTTTGGTTCAGCGGCATTTCAGTGGCATTTGTGGGTGGCTGGGCAGCCGGGGCCACTTCGTCCCTTGCTTCCCAGATTTCCCCCCATCCCCCCACGGAGCGGCCCGGCCGGTAACTCTGTACAGGGCATCTCTGTACAGGGCATCTCTGCACAGGGCATCGCTGCACAGGGCATCGCTGCACAGGGCATTGCTCACAGGGCATCGCTGTACAGGGCATCGCTCACAGGGCATCTCTGCACAGGGCATCTCTGCACAGGGCATCGCTCACAGGGCATCGCTGCACAGGGCATCGCTCACAGCTCTGCCACACACGGCACGATGGGCAGCCCCGGTGCTCCGGGAGGCAGGAATGCACTGATTCCCGGGAACAAACCTTTGCCTCTTGTTAGTTACTACCCGACTGTTCTATTTGCAAAGTTTCAGCACTCACGTCCTGGATCTGGGGAGTGCTGACACCGACAGCGGAGATCCACCGCGAGAGGGCGGCACCGCCCGGGAACGGCCGGGAATGGCCGGGAATCGCCGGGAATGGCCCGGGAACGACCGGGAATCTCCGGGAACCGCCAGGGACCAGCTGGGAATCTCCGGGAACGCCCCGGGACCAGCCGGGAATCTCCGGGAACGCCCCGGGAACCACCCGGGAAGGGCCCGGGCACCGCCGGGAAGGGCTCGGAGCCCTGCAGAGGGAAATGCTGTACCAGCGCAGAGACACAAACTGTGCTTTAGGCTGTGCCTGGTTTGTCTGATCCCCGGGACGAATGTGGGGCTCCAAGCAGGGCTTTCCAAGACATGCCTCTGCCTAAGTGGCGACACAGCAATGCCTTTCCTCTTGGGATTGCTAAAACTCAATTTCATCATTTAAATGACACTTAGGAATGTCCAAGGGTCACAATTTCTAAATCATTTTCCAGGTGGTTTTGGCTTTGTTTGTTTGTTTGCTTGTTTGTTTGTTTTAAGCTGTTCCAAAATAAGTTTCATTTGCAAAGGATGAATTTTTTTAATGTAGGCGTCATTCATGCCCTCTGTTTATTTGGACTCCTGAAGCCCAGTCCAACCACGGGTTGGATCTGTGAGGACTCGGGCCTCTGGAGGAGGTGACACCAGAGTCCTGACCATTTTTGTATAACATCTGCCATAGATGCAGCTGATCTCCGTTACATCGTAGAGAAGCATCTCTTCACTGGTGTGACAGGAGTTGGAGGAGCTCTCCTAGTCGGTCATGAGGTCAGGCATAACAAGACAGTAAATTTTGTATTGTCCCAGAAATTTATTACCATGGTCAGAAAATGGAAGAAGCTCAGTAGCAGCAGGTCAGTCTACAATGGGAAACATCCAAGGCCTTGTGAAAGCCGATGGGAAATTTTTCTGTCAAGCAGAGTTTCATTAATGGGTTCTGGCAGAAAACCAAAATTAATAGAAATAAAAAATGGTCATAGCTGTTTTTTAAACTTTCATTGATAGTTTTCAGATGCTGAATGTCATTCTGAGAAATTTTTTACTCTGTGTTATTACAGCACTCATCTGGAAGGGAGACCTGACACCAAATTTGGTCAATAGCCTCAGGTAAGTTCCTAAATACCTGCCTGATCCCGACTCCCCAGAGTCCCACCAGGGTTTAAAGCACATTTGCATCTCAGTGGAAAGAGAAGATGTGTCAAAAGTCAATATTCTTGGCAAGAAGAGTGCCTTTGTTCCTCTACAGCTGCAATCTACTAAATAGCTGTACATGAACAGCTGTAAAGCAGAAAATCAAAGACTCAGGCTCTAAGCAAAAGCTTGTACAGTTAGAGCAGAATTTAGTTACTTGGTCAGGTCTTTCCTAGAGATGCTGAAGTTTATAAATTCCCTGCTCTCAGCCTCATAGATGGACATGTTCTCAAGGCCCACATACATGCACCAAGTATTCAGGACAACAGTGGATGCACAGGAAGGAAGGGCAGCCCTGTCCACCGCCTAATTTGAAAGAAACACAACCTTTCAAACTGCAGCATCCTAAAACAAGCTTAAAGCATCCCCTGCACATCAGCCTTACAGGCTGTTCTTGAAATGCTCACGTGCATGGAGCCAACATACCACCAAAGTAGGGCCGGAGGTATTTGTTGTATCCCATGGTGAGGTTCTCAAATCCAGGAAGGGATGTTGAGTCGCTGCTGTGCAAGCTGGATACGTGACCCAGGGAGCACCTCCTGGGGACACAAACACATACTGTGACACGTGGGCTGGGCACATCTGGTGTGCAGCTGCAGCTGTATTTCCAGCTTGTGCTCAAACAAGCAAACTGCATAAAATAGTTATTAAAAACAAGTAGATAATTGAAATTACAAGCACTTGCTCATATTGCTATCTTGGCAGTATAATTAGCACCTTGAAGAGGTGGGAAAATGGCAAATTGCCTCCACGGATAGCTACAGGTTGTACACACAGTACCTTAAGGACCTTCCTAAAATATCACAGAGATATCAAGCAAAGTCTATAGATCACAAGTTTTAACAATAACCCCCAATTTCCCCTTCTCACTCCTTGTACAGTCTACATAAGGAACATGCATTTCTTTTTTTCTCCTGCTTAGGACAACGTGAGACAAATCTTACTGCCCAACAGCTCCTCCTCCCTAATCTCTAGTCCCCTAAAGAGGCTTTATCCTCAGATGTGAATGTCAGGCAGCTCCACACAGCTACTGCCAGGAGTAACACTGGGAGAGGAAAGGTGGAGCACTGTGCACTTCAGAGACACCCCCAGAACTTTGAGGGCAGAACCGCCCCAGCTGCGTCCAACTGAGTGTCCAAACTGACCCTTTGTGACTGGACAATGGAGCCAGGGGCTGGCACTGTCAGGCTGACAGATCTGCACTATCATACAGACAGCAAGGGACTGTACAAGGTGACTGTTCTGGTGCAGTGTCCCCAGGGATCTCGTGCTCACTTGAGGAAAACGTCGCTGAGTGAAACCTTAGGAGTTTGTTATTGCTTTGGGCAGGGCAGAAGGAGATGGGAGGCAGAGGCTCTGCCACTCCCAGTCTCAGGACCCCTGCTCTGGGCAGGAAGCAGCCATGGACTTACAACTCTTACCAATGTTTTTTCTTCTGTTCCCTTCAAAGCTGGGTTAATAGGCCTTGTAGCTGCAGGTTCTAAGGCCATACAGGACCTCACAGCAGAACTGAACCAGTTTTTGCACATTATATATACAAAGAATTAAAGAAATTTGGGACTTGTAGGTCCAAGGATGGTAATAACAGAGTTGGGAGCCCTGGTGGGGTGGCATTTCCAGCAAAACCCCACAAACTGTGCTCTGGTTCTGAACAGGAAATCAGGGGTTGCACTAGTAATGGACATATTGTGGTTTAGGGACTTGTGCAGGTTGCTCTCTTCTATGCCACATCCCTTACTGCACCCAGCCTCCTTTGGATGGGCTGGATAACTGGAAGCATAGTTTCCTTTTGACCCACATTACTTACATGAAACATAATTCAAATTTTCCCTGTAAAACAAAACAAACCTTCCACTTACCTTTGGGTTGAAAGAAAAAGACACAGACCAAAGAAGGAAAAATATCTGCAGAACATCTCTGGAGATTGTTTCTGTAGTTGCTCTGCTTGTCTGTGAAACAGAAAAGAAAGGCAAAGTTTTGTGGTTTAAGAAAAACTATTTTAAGGGAAGGGGACAGGGAAAAGAAATGCTGCACTGTCAGAACCATCACTGTGTGATGTTTAACATTCCTGATACACAGTGGTTCCTGCCCTTCTTCCTGGCTAGTGTCATTCTGTCTTACCACATAAAACACCCTGTTGACAACTCAGGTCCTGAATTCCTTGATAAATTTGAGCTCCTCTTCTATCAGTATGGGATGGCCATTAGATGATGTTGAAAATGGCACCATGGGAAGGGATTTATTAAGTAGGAAAATGTTGGGGTAGTTCCCAGAGCAGTCAGACTCTGAAGGCCAGGTGAAATCCTGCCCAGAGATGACAGTTTCTGTATGTTTTAGTCCCAGGCTCCACTAACCAGCTACACAGAAGTGCTGTAACTCTCTGTGCTTCATTAACTTGTACCTGGGATGTACCATGCTATTAACAGTAATGCTGCCAAGTCACTCAGCCTGCAGTACAGCATGAAATCATTTCACTTTAAATGGGTTTCGTTGACTTTTCTGGGAGTGGAACCAAGTCTTGGCTTCTGGCCTGAGATTCCATGGGCTCATGATGGCCTTGGAGCAGGTGCCACAGTGGGCAGCTCTGACCTGTGCACTGCTCCACTCTGATTTTTTGCTCCCAGCTTGAAGTGCTGCTCCAATCACACACCCTTCTTTCAGATCCAGGGCCTCTCTCATCACACAGGGCAATTAGGGCCTCAGCTTCCAACCTGGCTGCTCTGTAATAACCCAAATATCAGGAATTTTCTGCTTGGGTTAGATTCTTCCTGTGGTAGCTCCCCACAGCCCAGAGGATACTCTGTCTCCTCAGCTGGAGGCACGGCTCTGGTGCTGTGTCACAGGACAGCTGAGCTCCAGAAAATAACAGCATTGACCATACAGAGCCAGAAAAACCCCCTGAACATTCAAGCACCACAAATCCAGGGCAGCCCAGTAGAGAAAGGATGTTTTTTCAAAACAAACAAAATATGCACTAATACTTGTCCAACATCTGAATTCCTAACAAGGCTTTGCACTTTTAGGCCATTCTTTGAACATGGTCTTCAGGTGTTTCCAGATGCTATCGAGTGCTCCTCATTATAATGTGATGATGCAGGGCTAGAGGGAGAATTATTTACCCACTCACAGCAATGTCAGATCACAATTTTGATGGAAAAGAGAGAGGATTAGTCCAGGTAGTTTAAAGAAGAATTTCTAGAAAGAAGTTAATTTTACAAATTAGACTTTAGTTGAAAGTATGCGAATTCATGACCTTCAGTGGAGGAACCCCTCATGAGCATCCCTCATGACCACCTGTTTTGCACAGGATGACGGTAAAGATACATCAAAGACTATGAGGCAGGGAAAGGGAGATCTGTAGGTACTGAAGAGAGCTAAATACTGGGCATGCCAAAGCACCCCTGGGCAAGAAAAAGGTGACACCAGTGTCTAGAACTGAATAGAACCACAGCATTTCTTCACTACTCAGAGTATTGGTTAATGCAATGGCAATTTTGCTTTTATAGACAGGAGATTTCATCAGAGATTACCAGTACAATATACTGTGAAGAAATTAAAATCGTATTGTGTATTTATGTCTCTCTCTGTCCAATAAAGGATTTAATTCTAATAGAAAAACATATCTTTAAGCACAGTTTAATCTGACATTCAGACATTTGTGTCTGGCCAGTGAAAGCATGGCCCAGGCAATACAGAAGAGCAGCACTCGTGAAGGCAGAACCAGTACTACTGGTGCCAAGGCTGCTTCCAATGCCAAAGTTACAGAATAGTCAATCATTATGTAGACTCAGATTGAAAACCCTGAGAATATAATAACTTGCCCACTCAGCTCTGTATTCTCCCTACTGGCTGTGAAAATCATGCAAAGAGGCAAATTTTGAAGCAAACTAGATCCAGTTAGAGTCCTCTGTGGAAACCTGTGTCTGCTTCCAGAGAATTTCCTGAAACAAAGCTTCGTTACCCCACCCAACAGCAGCAGTATGCATCTGCCACTACACCTCAGACTGTGCTTCCTCAACCCTGCTCTATTCCTCTGTCTTTGAAGGGGTGATAGGAGTGAAAACAAAAAAAGGAGGAAAAATCACTGGCAGCATCAATAGTTCTGTTTGTAGAGAATGGGGTGTGAGGTAAGAGAGGTGTGCACACTCTCCTGATGGGGCCTGAAGTGCTCCCCAGGCTCCCGTGCCCCACTGCCAGTGTAACCCATAGTGGCAGCTCCTTCACAGCCGTAAGGGCCTGTCCAGGGAGCCCTGCCTCACCTCCCACCTGCCATCCCTGTCCCTGCACAGAGCAGCACATTGGCATCTTCTCCGATTATCCACTGGCTGGTGACATCCCAGTGCCAGGCAAAGGGAGCATTTACGAGAAGCTAAAATCCACCCCGAAAACCAAACCCATATGAGCTGTTTACTAGGCTTGAGATCATAATTCACAAGGTCAAACATTAGTGGAGCCGGATTGCTCTGATTGCAGAATGTGCAGCACAGGCAGAGTGCATCTCAGAGTAAAGCCTGGATGGGGGAGATAGAGAAAACAAATACTGAAATAAAACCAGATTGCATTTAATTTGCCCATTTAGGTGATACCTTTATTTATTACAGAATTTTAAGATTTTCATGCTGAACTCAGGCACAATTTGTCTGTTTATTTCCCTCGTAGGGAAATTATTTCATTGGGAGCGAAAGCTGTGCAGGGAACCCCCAGGCTGTGTGTGCCATGGGCAGGGGCCACGGGCACAGAGGGGGTGGGCAGTCCATGGACAGCCTGTCCCTCAGCACAGCCCCCGGGACACCCTC